TGGTATCGGTTAACTTTTACGAGTATGAGTACACACACATTTTACAGTATCAGTCCCGATACCAGTATCGGTATCGGTGCATCCCTACAATCAATAGATAATTTAACCAAGATTTTTAACTTTTTATGTATTTTCCAACGCCTGGCTGGAGCAAACCTCTCCAAAGCATTACAATCCCATCTAATGCTGCTTCAGTATAGGAAAATCCACAGCTTAAATGGCCTACTGTGTCACTTATTAGCAATATGTAGCTTGAAAGTCACTGTTCTGAGAATTTGCAAAAACTCAATTGTAGTGTCTTCTGTTGCATTCACTCTGTTTCTGTTTATACTGTGGATATAACACTGCTACTGAACCGCAAACGCCTTGCTTTGAATCAAGGATTTTCTTTAGTTATTTATCTGTGTCACCTTGTACCACACAGGCATAATGTCTGCCTGAGCTATTTTGATAGTGCTTTAGATAAGGCTACCTTAGGCTACCTGCTTGACTGATATTATTTGCTCAGAGCCACTTGTGCTGACTTTCTAAGAGATCTCGCCTATCAACGCAGAATATCACACAATTTGATTGTTGCCTACAGGTGCAAAATAATAGTCTTAATACACTTTTAGCATCTGAGGAACTTAAGATTGCTATTATCTTTATGGCAATATCTTCAAAACTACAGGAAAATTGTCCAATGTGTGGTTTTATTATAGTTTGCAGACTTATGTTAGCATCTGTATGCTTCTCTCATACTTGCTGTATTCAAATTCAGCAGTCCTCTTTTACTTTCTCACTTTCTATTTCCAGTTAATAGGAAATGGAATATGGCATTTTGGTCTTTGCCTTTCTGGGGTTTTAAAATATGCATAACTATATTTGGACAAGCAGGCAAAATGAATAGCTAACAGTAACATTAGCTGGTTAGGTTGGTAAGTAAGATGACAGAGAAAAAATCCCAGCTCAAAACAAAATATACGTAAACTGAACACTCTTTTCATATCTTTTAGTGTAACCATAGAGTGAATATGTGGTCATATATAGTACTAACGTCTCAATCACAAGTCTCTGCCAGATTCTATCTAAAAGATATAGCCTGGGAGCCAATGTTGAAGTCCCCTAAACCTACAGTCCTTTTTAATGAAAAGCAGAGGGTGAAGGTTGGCCTTTCAGACAGTATGAACATGTAGTTTCCCTCAGATCTTTCTCACAGTGGTCACATCCAGTTTCCAAACAACAAGATGGGGGAACGTGGAATGTTTAAACTAACAAGGAAGCCATGCCACAGTGGCTACATCCATCTTTTATAAGAGTCGGTGATTTGTAGAGAACCAACATTGCTTTATTGTTGTCATGTGTCATGAAAAGAAGTACAGAGGGAAGCTACAGTGTGACAACAGTAATGGGGTTTTTCAACATTAAAGCATATACACCTATTCTTGTAGACCCCTAAAATAAAAATTATGAATAGTGGTGCATGTACAATAGGAGTAAATTAAAAATACATAATGTAAATAGTGTGTGTTTATGAATGAATAAGCACATATACCTGCTCCCTGTTTACATGTCGGATAGAGTAGTGAAGCCAGCTCACCTTTTTACCAAATTATGAAATGAAATAATGAGGAGACCTTCAGAGTGAAGATGAGCCAGTCATGGTGGATAAATTCATCTTTACCACAGCTGGTCTCCAGACTCCCCGAGTTCAGAGGGACAACAGACTTCCTCCACTGTTGCAGTTGCTAAACTCATCTTAATTGATGAATGGCTGTAGCACTAATACAATTTTAAAAATGTCATTTTGAGCATTTACCCCATAATTCATATGAGCTCACAGCAGACATCAGCTAGAGCCTGTAAGGCTGATAAAAACAACAAGCTTGTTTTTCATCCTTGTATCTCTATCATTTTCTCTGTTTTTTCTTCTTTAACTTGTCTCACCTCAGACTGAGTCCCAATGACCCGCAGACCAACCAACTACCACGGCGCAGTCACTTTCCTCTGATCCCGCCCTTCATCTTGCCCACCGCAGCACCGAACTGACCGATCGCCTCTCTCAGTGTTTCTCTGGGATCTGCCTGCCAGCTTCCTGCTACCAACTCTGACCTTTGGCCCCTTGTCACCCTTGGGTTGCCCCACCTACCACAGAGAAAAGTAATTGCTGTTTGTCCATGTTTCTCTGTGCAGGTTTCCACCAGCTTCTCCACTGATGCCATTTCCTTGCAAGCACTGACTAAGGTCATTCCAACCTTAAAGCCCAAATGTAACAACCCCAAAGCAATAATCCCACAATCAATCAATCAATGCTCTATTAAGTATCTTGACCATAGCCACTTTTTCTTATAGAATGTTCACCTTACTAGTGAAAACAGTTGCCTCACATCACAGTAATGGAGCTTTGTTCTAGACCCTCTGGCAGGATTTGACATTTAAAAACCAAACTAACAAAAACAGCACCATTCGTAGGTCATCTGACGTCTCATTACAGGTCAGTCTACAATTCATCACACGTTACTTCTCTTGGTATCAGTGCACCAGTTTGTCTCTACACAATAATGATTCCTTGAATTTTAATATTATGATGTTTGTAGTCGTGGCTGCAAAGAGCACAAAATGAATCTGGTCTCGAGCGGCTATGAAGAGAGATGTCTGGAAGCAAATCTGAAGACCAGTGCAATAGCTTCTCAAAAGTCAGATGGTTTTAGTTCAATTGGAATCGTTCAGCGATGTAACTCGTGCATTATGAAGGCAGCAAGAGGGAGGATACAGGAGCTCTGCTGATACTCTGGGTGGTTTTGGCTCAAAGAGGATTTGGCACAAAAAAATCTGTTTGATCTCAGAGCCAAGTGTTTCTAAAGTTAAGATCTCTCTAATTGACCTTGAAGGAGTGAATATAAATTCCAGCTGAATGAGTGATATTGAAGGATGGTAATAAACCTTGAAATTAAACAGAGTGGCACAGAACACACGCACTCTATAATGTAATGTAGCACTTATGGTGGACAGTGTCAATCACAGTGTCACAGGATTCTTCATAAACATTCAGTCACACCAGCACATTAAATGTCTCCATTTCAGAGTCATTATAGTGTAGATCTGTGGAATCTGTGTGATGGTCTATGGTTGGCATGTCCATACAGGCCAAATGGTTCCTTGCAAATTTTCACTGCTGACTAATAGTAAGCCGTCTTGACAATGCTGAGAGAACAAAGCAGTTTTCAACTGAGGAAGCTATTGTAGGGATCCAGCTGTTTTTCAACATCAGCTTTTATTTCACCTCGGTACGCTCTGAGGCTTTTTTTTTCCTTTTCTTAGTACTTGATTGAAATTATAGGGCACAATCTGTGGCACAGTATAAAAAAATGTAGAAGCTCAGAGAGCTGTTGTGATGACTAACTCTACAGCATGCTTTCTGCTTGCTATATTCCAAGCCACCTGTAGTATTAAGTCATTGGAATTTGTTAACATTTGTTCATATATCAGGATATACTAACAAAAACTTCTGCTTTAGATAAATGAGTACAATTCTTTTTCTTTCTCTGTTACTTACTGTCCACATTCTCCAGAGGAAGTTGAATACTTTGATTTGCAACTTCTTTTCCCAAAAAAGGCAGACGACTTTGTAGATCATTAAAATGTCGTTTGTTGTTAAAATGTTCATTTGAAAGCATATTGTTGAGATATTCACTCAAGCTGAACTAGGGTTTAATGAGTCACTGTTAGCTTTATTTAACCAGGAGATCAGTTAAGAACACTTTGGGTAAAGGCATTTAAAGGGTAAAAGAACATTTCTACACACCTGAAGCCATTTCTACACGCTCACTGGTGAAACACTGCCCCATAGTGGCAGAAGTTTTACTTACATTTTTCAACAATTACAAAAAATTCCTTAAGGTGATCCAACTTTTTTTGAAAAATCCTGCTGATGTTAAAAATGTAATGGATATTTTTTTTTTTTAAATATTTCTTTGAAATTTTGACTTTCATCTATTATTTCAGTGCTTTTGCAAAGCATTGCATTCTGCATTTATTTACATTTTACACATGGCCAACTTTTTGGAAATGAGGTTGCAGATCAATCCTGGTCACGTGGTTTTAGCACAACTCCACAAAGTCGTCTGATATATCAGCACTCAGATATTTTGTTTTGGGATGATGAAGGTATTCAAGTACTAGCTTAATCAACAGCTATTTCAAGACATACAAGTCTTCATTTGAGCTTTGAAGGGTACTACACTTAAAAATCAACATCATTGTTTGGCTCCTGCACTGATTGCAAACCTTCACACCCACTCATTCACCTGCACCCGTCATGAGGGACCTCAGCAGTTACCCTGAGCTTGTATGGCATTTCCTGGTCATGTGGTTGACCCCAGTGGAGGGTTTGGGGCTGCAGAGCAACAACCTCTAGGTAAATCCTCCCTCCTGCTGGTGCTTTGTAGAGCCCACTCCATAAAACCATTTAGTCACACACATAAGCACAGACTGATACAGGAAAGCACACATATGCTTGCTGGTGTGCATACACAAATAGACACACAAACACAAAGCACCACCGAAAAAAGGTGGCGTGCTGACGACAAAGCATTTCTCTGTTCTGGAATCAAAGCAACTCTTTATTGTTTTTCTTTTTTTGTCTGTCTGTTATTTTGGTTGTCCATGCCAATATTGTTCAAATAGTGATGAGCTGTGTCAGTGTGATGTTCCTATTATACCATTTTCATGATGGTATCATCGCCTCATTGCACCACCTCCTCATCTGTCACCTCTACCTGTGTCTCACTCCAGTTCTCTGACAGCAATACAGTGTAGGGAAAGCCTCCAGTTACCTGCACATGCACAGGGCGTTCAGATAGAGAAGGACAGACAACCACTGATGTTATCCGGAAGTTATGAGAGGAGAGAGATTGCGTAAATGAAATAATGTATTCATGGCTGATCTAACAACAGAGTTTCCTTTGTAGTGATTTACTTATACTAGACTGGACTGTCTAGTAGATTGAATTTACTGAGTGCTTTTTAGTCACCGTGACTACCCACAGTAGCAGACGATGAAATGCCTTCTCTGGCGTATAAATGAGTTTACCCTACATCTGTAGTGTAAATAGAAGGAGCTAAATAGGTTTTGTTTGGTTTTTTTGCTTTAGTGCTTAGTTTATGTGATTTTTTAAAAGTTTTGTTTAAGTAAAAACCTCAAAGTTAAAAAAAATGTAAAAATTGAAACTCTTAAAGTAAACTGGACAGCGGGAACTGCCCAGCTCCAACATGCCATGAATGCAGCAGTATTTCAGCCAAGCACATCCGAGAGGAGCCTGCAGATACTATAATGAAGCCCACTGAGTGTAAGCTATAAAAACAATGCGCGGGATCACAGTACACACACAAAAAACCTGAATGGCTTAATGCTTTATAGGAAATAATCAACTGAAAGCCAAGTGTGCTCATTTTGTTGTAATTCCAGATGCTATCATAAGAAATCAAACATGTTAGCCAGCACTGTGATGTGACTTTGATTTGCTCCGTATCAGCCCGGTAATACGGACAGCCCCGTGTGCTCAGGGTGCATTAAAAGGCTGGGATGGTCTCTGCTGAAAACACTGAGGGATTAGTGACATGTCTGTGGCGTGCTCCCATAGTTGTCAGATGTGTGAAGTGTTACTACTGCATCCATCCTGTAGAGAGCGCTGCTTAGCCTCTGGAACACTGATAGTCTGGCTCTTAACAAAGGCTGAGTGAGAAAGCTTACGTCACTATTAGAGATGCTGCAGAAGGCTTCCATTCTGCCCTCATTCAAGCTATCACTATATTATTGTGTCTGGAACACTAAATATTATCATAATCATACAAATTATGTACAGTTCCCCAGAAAACTCAGAAGTCTCGTGCACTTGAACATAGTCGTGTTCATTTTATTGATGCACTTAAGTGATATTAAAGTTGCTTCACTGTATGTTGGTAAACATTGTCAGCAGTGTACTGTACATGTGTGCTTCTGGGAACAAAACAGTTTTGGTAGCTAGATGACGTTATAATATTCAAAGAGCAAGTGATCAAATAGTCAACAATTAAAGACAACTAAAAGCACCGTTTAAGAATATTCAATATTGTGTTGTTCCCTCCAGATCATTCCCATGCGTCGCCTAAAAGTAACATGTGTTACATGACATATGCGTGGGTCATATGTGAAATTAATGATGTGAACCAACTTTCTTCTGGAGCAGAAGAAGAAAAGTATGAAAGCACTTTGGGTTGTGGATCGTGTATATATAGGAAGTAAGGTGTAGCTCCATGCGTGAACATCTGGTGGGATGAGCTGATGTTGTGTGTCTAGATCTGGATTTTTGTGGCATTGTACTGTTGGCTATGATGATTTGACGCTCAGCTCTCCAGTCTGCTCTCATGTTGTTCCTGTTAACATTCCCTGCTTCTTATTTTCTGGCCAAGCTGCAGAGTAACATTCTGTAAGTAGTCCGTTCAAGGTCTTTAATGACCTTTTGGAGGAGCCAGTGGGCCCCTTGTTTGATTTATTTTGAGAGCGCTGACTTTAAAACTATCTCTGGTCAAGAACAGGTTTCAGTGTTAGCATACAGTGTGTTAATGTTAGCATACAGATTTTAATGTTAGCATACAGATTTTAATGTTAGCATACAGATTTTAATGTTAGCATACAGTGTGTTAAATAACAAAAGCTGATGTTATGAAATCAAGACTGTTAAAGTGGCCCTTTTATAAACATGTTGAGCTCCATATTTATATTCTTGGACTAGAGTAGAGTTCAAAATAATGCTTGCTGGTCTTCTGCTTGTGCAGTCCCTCACTTCATCCTATACCTGAAACAAGCCTTTAAATCAGCTTTGTTCTGAGTGACCGATCCTATGATTTGGACAAAGTAATCTCACGATTTTTTTTCTATTGTAAGGTAAATATTCTAAAGTAATACAATTATAATGTTATTCAAGTTAAGTTATATACATGACAGAAAATACAGGAAAGCCCCACAGACCCTCTTTAAAGCTATGAACTTTAAGCCTGTTTCATTTCGCAACACATTAAATCAAAGAAAGAATTTGATAACAACAGAAAAATTCAAAAATATTTAAGGCTTTCCACCCTGGCAACCAGTATTTGTACACAAGTTTATTTGTATTTATGAGTATACGCAAACTTTTCAATGAGAAAAAAGACTGTTTGTTAATTTACAAAGTTCTTTAGGAGCAGCTTTTTGGGACCATTGATTATGAGCCAGACAGTAGCCTACAACATGCTTGTATCAATGCTCCCAAGGTAACAGATAAAAAGATTGATGGTGGAGCCTAATCGGTAAGTGGGTTATGAAAAATTTAGAGGCAGACATGTTAATTTATATATATAATATGGCCTTATCTTATAAATGAAAATAATGTGTAGATTTGAAGAGCTCAAATATTCTTATCAGTTTCAAAAAGGCAATCTAGTCCAGCTGAGGTTTAAGTGATTTGAGTCTTTGGATATTCAGCAAGGAACCCAATGGACCCTTCAGTTAGTAAAGTTTTAATAGAGCCATGGGAATATGCTCAGTGTTTACTACAGTCATCAGGACTGTGATACAGTTAATGTTACTTTGGAGCTTGGACAGAAAGTAAGAGTCAGATTCACTCTGATGTCCGTTTGAACTCCCAGTTATTGCACTCAAATACCACCCTTCCACTAGTATTTCACACTGTATATAGACACCATCACGTTTTTATCACTCCACGTGTAACTCAAATTAGTTCAAATGAAATAAAAAGAAGAAAAAAACAAAAAAAAAATCTTACTTCTTAACAGGGTGTAGTGGATGTTGATAGACGGGCATTTACGTTCATAAACCTAGTTAGAGTTGAGGTAAGACATTCTGGTAAGACTGAAAGCATAGGGAAGGAAAAGTGTACTTTTTTTTCAGAGTCTGCCTTTTTTCCATCAAGAAAAGGGCTGCTGAAGTTTCAAGAATGTTTTAAAAATGTATTAAAGATGCAAGATTATGAATACATGTATGAGGTTTGTCTCTGTTCTGTTTTGGAAGATAGCTCACATATGGAAAACACTGTTTACCAGATTCAAACTGACAGGCAGGAAGAGAACCAGTGTGTGTCCACTTAGATATGATCTGAAGAAGCTTTGCATAAAGAGAACATGAGGACACTCCTCAGAATTGGCAACATTTGGTGTGAACTGCACTGACACACACTGGTGAGCCCTTTCTTCTGCCTACCACCACCAGAAAGTAATACCCTTTATTAAACAGCTCCTATGTAGACACCTTGACATATCTACCAACACGGGACTGAATTAAGGCAAGTCATGGACCAAATTATCTTCCCACTGTCAATAACAAAAATAATAGAAAATTTTGAACCTGTTTGTAAAGTAACAGAAAAGTGCTTCTGATGCTACGCAAAGTTTCAAACAAGTAGTGTTGGTAGATATATCTGGAGCCCCTAACCACGTCTCCCACCTGCAGTGGCTCATCAGCACCACAGCACTGAAAAGCAGCTGATTTTACCTGTCCTTTACTATATATACAGCAGCTACCAATTAAACCAGTATTCCAGCTGTTTAAATGTCAAGTGGAGTGGAAAATTACAAGTGTGTGTATTGTATTCTGGTCTTCTGCTTGCCCTTACTCAACCTGAGAGGCAGCAGGCAAAAAGAAGCTACTTTTCAGCACTGTAGAATAAACCCACTGTAGTGTGTGTGTGTGTGTGTGCTGTATTACTTTGTAGGGCGCAACACCATAGCAAGAGCATGCAGAAGACAACAAACCAACTGCTGGTTGTTAGAGGTATCTGTCCTATTAGATAGAGCTTATCTCCCCTTTCAATTCTGAATATTTGGTATGAAAGAGATGTTCATTGTGGTTAATTGTTAACTAGTGATGTGAATATTAATCAAGAAATAAAAAGATGAG